AACTTAATTTATATTATGTCAGGCCGATTATGAAAAAAAAAGTCAATTAAAAAAAAACATTGGCAATTGGAAAAATTTCATATTTTATGGATTATACACATAATATATCAGAGACGACTGTATTGGACTTAAAAAGTAAAAGCTAAGTAAGCCTATTTTTACACTACCATGATTCGTCAAATAATAATTCCAACACAAGTTACTATTTCAACGATGCCTAAACACCTTGGATAATTTTTTAGGTTTACATTTCCATCGAACACTCTAAAATTGTTAGTCTGTCGATTAGGTTTGACCGAGGGGAAGGTATATTATGTGAGTAACCCATTTCGACCTAGACACAGTTAAAACAATGCGCTTGGAATTAGCGCGTGGTTTAATGTTCCTGTAATATAGGGTATTCGTGGTTGCTACTACATGCCCGTTAGTGGTCGAAGCAGATCAAAATGGACATTGTCCAATCTGGCAAGTTTACAGAAAACGAACATGCACCCGGACGACTGCACGTCGCCGTAAAGTATTGTTTAACAGTACAAAAATATATATAATTGTATACAAAAAACGGCAACCGACGTCATGATATTTGGAAGAGTTTTCGGCGGCGCAGTGCTTTGTATAATATATAAATGTATCTAATATTAATTAAGATTAGGCGAAACGAATGACGGGCGAGCCGGTACATGCAACACACTCGCACTAGTCTATCCAATGAAATGCATAATATTATTGTAAAAAACGGACAACAGTCCTCCTATACACAATGCATTAATGTCGGAGATCAATAACCCTCTGCTTAATACACAGAAATTAGCGCGCGTCTATTATTTTATAGAATACCTATTACAATACATATATGTATGTATATTGTATACATATATTATTACTTTGGTTTTATAATCAGGCGGTATACTCATAAACATGTAACGGGAATATCGCTGCTCGGTATTCCTTTATAACTTGTTGTTGTTGCGGGAAATAAGTCTAAAACATTTTGTACGTTTTTAATGAAAAACTAATAATGGGAAATTTTTTTTTAAAAAACGTGTCTACACATAACCGTGGCACGCGTGTACTTACTCTTATTTTAGTAGGTATATTATATTATTATTATGTTCCACCAAGCGCTTTTCATAAACAAACAAAACGCGCAAAAATCTAATATTTTTCTAATTATTCACGCCGTTCGCGGCCGTCGGCAGTTGGGTGATATTTTTAATTAACTGCAGAATTTTTTTTAGGGTTCTACCGGCACCATATTCATTATTATTATTAAAATTAATAAACAATTCATATTTCTCGTGCAGTATACATCATATAGTAGCCGCAGAATAGCGCATGATAATAGTAGAATATAATAAATATGCTTTGAAGAAAATTGCCTAGAAGTTATTTTTTTTTTACAATCCTGGGTCGACTGATTCATATTGAACAACGCGGTTTTTAATAGGATTGTTTTGCAAACCCATATACCTACGAGTTTTGATACGGATCTGCACGGTCGGCAATTCAAACGAGCGCAAATTTTGTCGTCGTGACTGGCCGTTACTAATCTACTACAATAACTATATATATTTATATGTACGTAAAATCGCATATAGATGTATATAATATGGTGGTTTTTTTATTAGTACAGCGCGAGCAATAACGTTGTCGGGGATTTCATCAATACAATAACAATATTATGGGCGCATTAGTATACACATGAAACGTTTAAAGTGTCTAACATTTTTATTCTATATGCCCTTGTCCACTGACCACAGAGAGGTTCGTACAATTTTTTAACAATTCTTTAATGTTTTTTCAATTTTGTTGGCGTATAAGAATCTGCGGATGGATGACCACGAGGCTATTGAGACGATAATATTATACTTTTCATAGCTACCACGAATGGAAACGCGTTAAAAAATGAAAAAAAAATAGATGCCGTGTGTCATTGTTGCTACATGCAGTTGGGAAACTAGCGTTGTCGATAATTGACAGCCCGTTTGTTTTCCAGGCGATATTACATTTAAACAATATTATACACACAGTGTGTACACCTAGCTACTTGTACACGAACATCCCATTTTTCAACAGTTACTGGTTCTGTTTGTTATCCAAAAGCAAATAGCGTGTGTGCTCGTACACACATACAAACTGGTTTGTCGGCCTGCCCCCATCGTCCCGGGATTTCACCCCGGAGAAAAGTCCTTATCGCCGATTGTATACAATACCACGATTATAGGGTAATTAAGAAACGACACGTATACACGAGAGCCACGACTACAGCTTCTAGGGGACTACATCGTATATTGTATTCGTCGTTAAATCCGTTTAAAAAGCACACTACTATCGCCGGCACCACCACCCGCATACAATTAATTACACAGCGTCCGAAGAGAAACCGAGATTTACGGTTATTCATTAGCATGTATTTCTGCATCTACATGATTATGTCGCTATTGTTTATACGTTATATTTATTGGTGTATATTGTTTGAGTGTAAAACCAGAGCACTGGGAGATAAAACAGTGATCGTCCAATGCCTGAGCCCCGTCGCGATAAGATTGTTTATTATAATATATTTTTTTATAAAATGTAAGAGTAAAAAAAAATGTTCCAAATAAATCGTAAAAAACGTTTGTGTTGCATAAATAATTTTGAGACAATAGCGACCACCAACACTGGACGTATTTTTTTCTTAAATTTCAACAGTCAGATTTTTTAAAAATCTTATAGAGTTTTTCGATAGTATCGTAAAATCTTTTAAAAGACTGGGGGGAGTTGATCCGTCTCGGAGAGCAAAAAAGGTGCCCTCGAAAAAAAACCGTCAACCGCACGACGCCGTGCTGTTCCTTCCAAAGACCTCAAGAGACCACGTACACAGGTCTATGTGGAAGGGGCAGAAAAAATAATATTCCAGGACAAAACAGTCGCGCTGTTGTACACACACAACAGCGGCCGGCTTCTGCATCCAAACCAGTTTTTATATTCATAGTAAAATACAAACGACGACCGTGCAGGTGGTGGAGGCGGCCGAGGCATACGGTCGTGACGCGTTTTTTTCTTCTGCCAGACCCCCCCTCCCCCAGTGCCATCTATATACAAGACCAGAGGATGCTGCACTGTTAGTAGTGGTCACGTCATTGCGCACGAGTTTTTTTCGAAAACCCCATATCCAATATTATTATTATTATTTTAATAGTGCCAGACTGCAGAGTATTCATGCGAATTTTTCTAGCGTACGAATATTAATGATTCGACAGTTTTTTCTTTTAAATAATTCTTTTAGTCTATAGTTACGAAAAAAGCATGATCGCGGTTTTTTTTTTTTGAAACGCTTTTATCACACAATAAATACTAGCGCGGTTATGAGTACAAGATGGGAGATGGGACGTTTATAAACGTCATAATCTTAAAAAGAATTCGATAAAATCGTTTACAAGAGAATAACCCATTAGATTTTCTTAAACGCGAGAATGCGCGAGATACATGTGTTTATAATAATAAAGGGTCAAACACACTTCGCTACACGCTAAGATAAGATTTCCTATCCTATCCGTATTGCACAATTAAACGAACGCTGGATTCTTTTAATTTTTTATATGTATAATAATATATAAAACTCGGTAGTTGAAACAAAGAGCTGTGCACAAATAAATCGTGTACATAAACCTAGTGTACGCCGAACAATTTTATACGTTTGCGTGGTCTTGTTCAGTTATACTATAATATGATGATCACTGCTGCTTTTATACATTACATATACTGCAAATCACGGTCGGAGACAACGTTCACGAGGAGGAGAGCAATGAGAACGCACACACGCTTTATTCGATACCAGAGTTTTCCTAAAACGGAACTTCGTATTCCGCGCAATTAGGCATTGTATTCGAATAGTGACACGTTAACTTTATTTTTTTTTTTGAACCCTCAATCCTTTTGTCCTCTACGTCGGACGACGACGACGACAATAATAATCATTATACATAAACCAGGTGGTAGAGCATAAAAATAAAAAACCCACTTCAATGAAATAATAGTACTAAAGTCGTCGTAGTCCGATAGTAGTTTGTCAGAAATCGAATAAGCCGCAAATAGAGTTACGATCGCTGTCGGTTTACGATCTCGGCTGTTAAGTCGATTTCGAACGGCGGTGATATTTATATTAAACGAGACTTGAACGGGGCTTAAACAAGCGTGTAGTAACTATTAGTGTGTATGAACGGACCATAAATATCTTAGATCGTGTACTAAACGTAGGGGAGCATATACGAACGGGACAAGATCTCTACGAAATACACATTATAAAAATACTCCTTCGGTTTACAGTTTACACCGATCCACTGTGCTCGTTGTCGGTTACAAAAGAAACGAGCACCGTACGTAGGCAGTGAAAAAGAAAGAGAGGGAGCAGGTGTACAACAATAAAAGGCACAGATACAGCGATAATACGCGAAGAGGGGTCCCCTCGATTAAATACAAAAAAAAGTAATAATTCTATCGCCTCTGTAATAATAAGCATAATAAATTATGTTTTGACTCCCGGTTGGGAATAAAAACGTGGAAAAATATTAAACGTTCAAAAGCGCTCGTGTGTGTGCGATTGAGTTTTTTTTAATCAAAGGTCTCTCCATACTGGAGCGTCTTCACGGTGTAGGCGTAGTCGTGCACGAGATCTATACCGGCCGAAACGTTTAAATGCATTCTATTCCGTCCGGTCCACACTTAAACATTATTGCCGATATAGCTCTTATATATTTTTCGTCTAACGAAATTACAATGCCACCACAACTCGCGCCGCACGAACGTACGTGGAGTAAAATCTTTTTTGAACACATACACACACACATGTACAATAAGTGAAATTCATAGATCGTCTAATTACGCACATCCGAGCACGTTTTCAAGATCAATGGGCCACAGTGATAATAACGACACATCGCAACGCTTGCACGCCATACAAACAATATAATATGCGGAAATCGTATACGGCTGAATAATGCATGTATACATCTTACCTGTGCACGAGCGTACTGAGTGTTCGTCCGCAAACGTCGGGAAACGGTCGTCACGGCGTCGATTCGACTATCGTCTGAAAACAAAACAAATATATTTATAAATATTATAAGTACCTAATAACACAGGGGTAAGCACATACACATTGTTTGAGTTATGTAAATAAAATGAGTAGCAAGACAGTACGGCGAACCCGCTATTTATGATCCGAATTATTGAAACAATAATAAAGTTTAAGTTGCCTTTCCCCCCCCCCAATTTTCCCCTTCAACACCGATAAAATCATTCAGACACTCGCCGGCTGGCATTAGGGTTCGATGGCTCATACGAGGATTTTTTTCTTTGTTTATTATAATATATAATTTACACAATCAGTAAACATTTATTTTTTATAATAAGTGTATGTACCTTTTGTAACCCTATGGACACGGGTCTTGATAGGATAAACCATCCATTAATATTATTTTTATTTGTTTGAAGGTCTTGGAACCATTTCCGTTTTAAACGTTTTCTTGGGTAACCTGGGGGAGTGAGAACGGATATGTCAGAAATTACAGGGTGGTTGGATAGGTTGGAGAGAATTCGTTTGTAAAAAGTTCTGACGATGTTTTCGACTGTTGGAATATAGAGGTCGTTATGGAGTGTATTATTTGAAACATATAAAATGAAGTTTTGGTTATTTGACGGAGGCATTTAGATTGGAATGTTTAGATTTTGTTTAAGTTTGAGGGTTTGGGCAAGTCCCAGAGTTGAACGCCATATGACCATATAAGTTTTAAGAAAAGTTTGTATGAGAGGACTTTATTATCAAAACTAACGTGTTTGGATGTCAGGAGAAATCACGGTTGTTTAAAGCTAGTCTCTTTAAGCGCGGATATATGGGGAGCACATGTCAGCCGGCGATCTAAAAGTACAATGAAATGGACTTAGATTTGTTGATTTTAATTCCCCAATTCTCACACCAGGTTTGAAGTAAGTCTGAGGCTATTTCGGGGTCTGAATGAAGGGCTAAGGAGCTTTATGGCATCTGCTAAGTCACCAGTAAGTGTATATGGTCAGTTGTATTATACTAGAAATTAAGAAAAATCACGAACGCGCGAGAGAACAGTATTCGACAAAAGTAAAGCACACAAAGTGTAAAAATAAAAATAAATAAATTTCAAAAGAATCGTTTAAAACAACTACGAGCAGTCTTGGCCATGCATTTGCGTCATCGCGGACGGGTGCCAAAACGGAGTACAAATGAAATAGAACATCACACAGTCTAGAATATATTGTCGGCGAGACTTAATCTCGACTAAAACCGAATAGGATCGTTAAAAAGTAAAAACGTTTCCCACGCGATATTTTCCGTTATGAAAAAAATAACAAGCAAATTTATTTATTTATTTTTTTTGAACGTGATCGTTAACGAAATACATACTTATCATTATAATTTTTTTATGTTTTTCACTTACGGTATTTATATTACATGTATTTAAAATACGACAGAAACTATTTGTTTTTTTTTTTTATAACGAGCATTTAATTATTTTTATTAAATCTGACAAGCGCTCAAAAAAACACACCTTAAAGACACGTAAAACGCATAACATAATACATTTAACAAGATACGCGTTAAAGTTAAAAAAAAAAATTCAATTGGTAGGAAGAAAAGTAAAAAACAAGTTGGCGGCGCGGCGAACTAATTTATTCTGTAGTAATTTTATTTAATAACATATGCAGAAGCTCATTTGTGTAACCACGGTCATCGACTGTACACGAGATCTCTAGACAAAAAAAAATCAGAAAGGTCTCTTCGCGTAGAAAATTTATAGGTATTTGATTATCCACCGCGAAACAAGATCCTAGTAGTTCGGATAAGGCGACCAACACTTTTGAGTGTATTCCGCACTCATGTTACTTTTTCCCCAATACACACATTGCGTCAAGTAGACTAAAACTTCTTTAATATAGAATTATTCAACAAATAGTCGGCTTACAAACGGAACGAGTCAAGTCGAAAAAAACACTAGTGTTAACAAACGACGGAAAAGAGCAATAAACCCGAGGATTTCCGAGGTTTCTAAAGATCAAAACCCTCGTCATTTTTATCTTTAGACCAAGAATAAGAATCTTTAGAATAAGAATTTTCTAATAATAACGGCTTTATTTGTATTTTTTACAATCTATAAAACAAATGTATAATAAGTAAATTAATTGGAACTATAAATTAACAGTGACATAATGGGAAATCTCACAACAGAAACACCTAGAACAGCACGATTAAAAATTAATAAAAGTTTAACTTTAATCAGAAAATTACTATACGCCCGAGTTATATGTAAAATTTCTTTTAAGTGTTAATCGGGTCCTTACCGAGGTCTAGTAAGACTTTGAAAAACACAAAACAGATTAATCCCGCATTAGTGTCACATGCTAATACACGCCGCTCAACTGCGGGGCTAGAAAGCTCAAACTCAACACACACAAATAGGCCGTTATGGTTGACAGTTTTTACACAGCCCAGTTGTCGGTACAACTGATGATTGCCGAACACGAGCACGGTTGGCGCTGCGGTGGAAACGCGTTTCCGATGTTCAGGACGAGCCGTAAGCACATTATCTACGGACGGGCATGCGTGAAAAATCGAAACAGGTGCGAAATGAAAATAAAAAGAAACGAAACGACCAGAGGAGTCTTCTGAGGACGGCGGCGGGCTTGGATCGGTGGTTAATGAACGCGAAGAGAGCCGTGTAGAACGACCAAATAATAATAATAATAATAGAGACCCATTGTTGTCGGGTGCACAAAAATAAAAAAATAAACAACGTACGCGCAAGAAGCAAGAGCATCTCTCCTCTATATACATACTGCATGTGTACAATGTGTACTATTGAAAAGGATTATAGAAAAAATTACTCGGCAACACATGCGTGTAGGTACGTAGAAGAAAAATAATAAGAAACCATAGGACAATAGAAACGGCCGCAGCAGGATTGCCCAACTGTAGTAAAATGTTCATAATAATCGTGTTGATATTGACACTGCATACTTTGGGCGGAATTTTGGCTATTTGCCACAAAAAAAAAACGTATTCACATTATATTGAGCACTTGGCCGCTAGGCATGAAAATATATCGTACAATACGGGCTTGAGGCTTTAGAGCGTTTGTAATTATGTACCTGTTTTCGTCAAACCATAGCTAGAAACTTGGCAAACGACACTAATAGTCGATTGTCGATTAGTTAATTGATTCGAGTAAACAATAAACGACTCTTCGCTTCTATCCAGTTGACCTTAATAATGTAAACACAATTGCGTGTATAGTGTACTTAGGATAGTTTACGCCACATGGTATGGATCTACGTTGTTCAGGGTTGTTTGTTTACTAATCCTTGATGGTTTAGAACAAGTTTATATATTTATAAAAAAAAAAATATATATCTAAAACTTTATTAATTTTCAACGCAGACTTGCAGTTTTACAAAATCAATATAATAATTATATACTTTACGATAGTTAATCAAGAAACTATAAACTTACACAGCAATCAATATTAGGTATTAAACTCCACTTGATACGAAAACTAAAATCAACGATTAGGTTTAGTACATGTGTAAACAAAATATAGTCACTCACGAGCAATCATGTTTTGTGCTTACCGATATTAAATACTTTTGTATATAATTGTATTTCTGATGTAGTCAATCGTGTCGTTTTTCTTATACCTGCCTATTCGCACGTGCAAAATGACATCATCGTTCGCATTCAGATTTCAATAGCCTACATAATACGAATATTAATCAATCGCAGTGTTGCGAGTACGTTTCTAGTGAATCATTCACGGTTGTCTATTTCCGAACGGATATTATAAGGATGACAAACATTCCCGAGGTCAAGTGCGCGGCCAAAATGATTATGTAAATGTCCTTTTTTGAGGGTGTAGACGAATCCCGAAATAAACCTCTTAATTTTATACCGACTGTGTATTAGTGGTGCACGCCATTAGTGTTTTTCCATGGAACTTGTCTTCGTGTACGCGTCCACCGACCGACCGGAACCGGTTCCATAGGAAATGCCTACATGGACCAGTTATAAAATCATTGTAATTTATACACCAACATTATAATATATGCGCCTTAATTAACGGTTCGAGTGTCGTTTGACTTATAGATGGTTTAAGTTTTATCAAGGGGGGGGGGGAAATACACGAACTACTTCGTAAACCGTTCACGAAGTCCAAAAACTGTAGGTAAAAAAAATATTAAATTGTCAATGACACGCTAAACGCGGGTCGAGATTTTTACAGAAGTCAATTTAATATAACACCCATATCCATTATGGTCCATTAAAATTACAAATATATAGAAAACACTTTATTCTTTACACTTTAACAAAATAATTTTTCTATACATGTTATCGCCCCGAACATAACCACAAGATTAATTTTCGTTAGTATAAATATGATTTTTTTCTTTTTGTATTCGGTACTTAAAGAGGGCGAAATAACACAAGAGGTTTATTGCTTTATAGGCGCCACGTGAGTGTACAAAAACAAATAAACATATTACAGACAGCAGTTCACAACGTTTTTATTTGAAATGACATAATAAAATAAAACAATACACACAAACGGTACTACGTTATTTGTATGGTTATCGCAAGAGCTATTATTTTTCATTCTACCTAAAAGGATGATAGACGATTCTTTGAAAAAAAAGATGTGATATTAATCTGGTTTTTTAGTACTCGGACAAGTGACTGATAGCGACTACATAGTACATACTACATACGTGTAACGACTGACAAGATATATCATGATTTTTTACAAGAATAATATAATTGTTGATGGTTCAATTGAATATGTGCGTTAATACTAAAGAATGGGGTTCGATAAGGATTTTTTAAGCAAACAACCCAACTCAAGTACACAAGAAGTTCTGGCTATAGAACAGTACACTTATTGATGTAATTAATTTCAATTAGGTCTTCACATTAATTTTAACGCAATTGGCCACTTTGGCTTAATTAAACGCTCTATCCAATGATATGTTCGGCTAGTGTAATTTTATGCAAAATTCGCAAAACAAATG